ATTAAATGAATGTTTATCTCTTTGAATTATAAAATCTCACAAATTTACTTCCATTAACAAAAGACACCTGTCCTTTACGAACAGAGGTATTGCGCCATTTTGCTCTTAGATTTTGACATTTTTGTCATATTGGTGTTTATGAGTCTGTTTGTATCTGCAACTGTGGCATTTATGAGTCTGAATCTGCAATAGGTTGAAAAACTTTACTGAATTGCATATAAGGTTTCTATTTTTAGAATATCGATAGTAGAATTTGTCCCAATTGGATTAAATTCGGATTTATTTTTGTCAATTTCCAAGCTAAATTACCGATTTGTACAAATAATCGATTCATAACAACCATTTATGTTAATCTCTCATAGTCCATGATCTCCACTTAATCATTATCGAAGGGTATTATAGGGAATAACGATATAATTATACATACGTTTTTTCAGGGAGAGAATGAAAATCGGTTTTCAATTTATGTCCATTCAAGACCTGGTTTCCTACTTAACAGATTAACAACAAGATCGATTCACTTTTTAAATCGCCAAATCAATAATAGCATACAGGTTCTTCTTCTTCTTCTTCTTCTTCTTCTTCTTCTTCTTCTTCTTCTTCTTCTTATTCTTATTATAATTATTATTATTATTTTTCCTCAATTTCTTGTTAATGTAACAATTAATTTAACATGCATGTGTTTGTAGATATATTGGGGAGAAGCGAGTATGATACAAGCAGAGATTATTCTACTTCAACATGCACTCATGGATCCTTCTAATGAACGATTTGCTTTCCTTTCTGATAGGTAAAAAAAAAAATATAATATTTTTAAACAACTTAAAGAACCCAATTATATATTAATGTTTTCTAAAAGCTTCTTATTCTTGTTTCAGTTGCATTCCTTTATACAACTTCAGCTACACATATGATTACATTATGTCAACATCAACTAGCTTTGTTGACAGGTAATCATTAAAATTTAAAAACATTACATATCAAGAAATATTTGATTATAAGTAAGTTATAACATTGAATATTTTACTCTATGAATTTTGTTGAAAAGTTTTGCTGATACAAAGGAGGGAAGATATAATCCTAAGATGGATCCTGTGATTCCTGTTAATCATTGGAGGAAAGGATCTCAGGTAATAATAAATACTATTTTTAACAAAACTATTCCACTTGATTTAAATTAATTTCCTTTTTAAGTAACTTTTCATTATCTTCTTTCAGTGGGTGATTCTAACAAGAAAGCATGCAGAGATGATTGTAAAGGATGATGTAGTTTTTCCTATGTTTCAACAGCATTGTCAAGTAAGTGGTGTTAAATGCTAAAAATAGCAATGTACTTTTATTGATTTGTTTATTTATATTTATAGCATCTTACTTTTATTTCTTCCTATTGCAAACATTATACAATGTTATAATTGGAAAGATTTTTCAAAGTACAATAACTTAATAAGAATAAAAATTTACAATGCTATAGCTTATAATAAAAATAAATGAAAGTAGTTTCTTCGATTAACTTAATCATTGTTAATTTTAAAATTTTCTTTCATGTATACAGAGGAAATCACTCCCAGAGTTTTGGCGTGATCGTCCTGTTGTGAGTGTATATATTTTATTTCAATTATTTATTTATTTATTTGATTGGTTGATTTATTTAATTATTTTTATTTTTTTTGAAGCCGGTTGATAATTCAAAGGAGCATAATTGCATACCCGATGAACATTATGTGGCAACATTCCTTGCTGTAAGTTTAAGTTGTGCAATAAAAAAAACCTTTAACTTAATATAGGATGTAATATGATTTGAGGGGTTTTTTTGAATGTTATGTTATCATATATTTATATATATTTTTCTATAAATTTTTTAGCATAAAGGACTTGAAGGAGAAATTACAAGGAGGAGTTTGACTCACACTTCATGGGATATTTCATCCAAACAAGGCCGTGAGCGGCAAGGATGGCATCCTGTGACGTATAAATTGGCCGATGCCACTCCCATGCTCGTTCAATCTATTAAGGTACATTATGATTTATACTGTCAGTCTGTCACCATCACTGTCTCTCACATCCATAAAGACTGTCACTGCCACTGCCACCGTCATTGTCATTGTCATTATCACATCCAAAAAGACTATCACCGTCACTGTTAGTATCGGTGTCAGTGTTATTGTTTGTCACATGCAAAAAGACTATCATTGGCACTGTCACTGGTTGTCACATGCAAAAAGATAGTTGTAGTAAATGAATACGATCTTTAGATTTTGTATGCTATATTTTTACGGATGATTTTTTTTTTTTAATTTTTATTTGCAGGATATTGATAATATTTACTATGAGACGGAGTACCGAAGAGAATGGTGCACAAGCAAGGGTAAACCATCCCCTTGCTTCCTTTTTGCTAGAAAATTCACACGGCCGGCTGCTATGCGTCTTCTTAATATGGTAATCATAACCAACTGCCACCATTTGTTACACAAAACTAAACAACTTGTACTGTGTTTGACCTGCATTAGACTGTGATTCAGACCAATGTCAATAGCACAAAAACTTCATCTAAAAAGTTGGGCAAAAAGTACTACTTTTTGTCCCATCCAAAAAGATAGGACAATTTGCCCGCTTGACATGATACTAGTCATAGTCCAATGCACGCCAAACATAATACTATATTTATCTGTACTTGTTCTCTTATTAAAATTATATGACTATCTAATACACAATTTTTTTTGTCTAGTCTGCATTAGGTGTTTCTAAAGATACAAGAAGTTATACCTTCGTAAGGTAAATTGTACAAAAATATTACGTTTGATAACACCAAGGTAGGTTTTTGTAGAATGTGTGTAACTCGTAAGAAAATAAACGTGTGTTGTAGAAAAGAAATAGAAACCCCGAACCTCGAGTAGGTTTGATGTGTGCTTTGTATACGTACCATTTTCGTATAGTGTTTTGTGAAATCTCAACCACAGCCGATTCGAGCTGACAATGTCTTGGTTAGCTATGATTTTTTTTACCACTTGTTATGTATTATATGATAGAACAGAACAAGATGTACTGCATTTATCATGCATTGGACTGTAAATGCAACATTGTCAATGTGACAAATATTCTTTGTCGATCAGTGAAAGACATGAATATATTTTCTCATTCTTATTATTGAAAATAGCTTAGACAACCTATGCAATCTCAACATGGGCGTTTACGACACAATATATTTGTATAAGATTAAAATATCATGAATTACTCCGATTAGCAAAAAATCTAATTGTGTAAAATTTGGCAATTGTGATTGGTGCATAAGATTAATATCATATTTTAGACACCATTTATTTATATGATGCACTCTTACACAAGGGATGTTTCTATAGTTTTACTATTACGTTGGGAGCATTACGTTAATTTTGTGTTATACAGGGTACTATTTATGTAATTTTGGTATTTTATAAGGCTATTTCTGTAATTTTACTATTACAAGGAGCATTTCTGTAAGATCTCTATTACACATGGATTAGTTTTATAACTTACTCTTGAACAAGGACCATTACTGTAAATTTATCCTATGTATGGACCATTTTTATAATTTTGTTATTATGTAGGGACTATTTTTGACCGTTTGTATAATTTCCTCAAATCTATGGAGTGTGGACCATTAGATAATTTTGCAGTAGGGACTACTTCCAGATTTTTTTCGAATACCATTAAATTAAACATAATTAAATTATATATGGACCATTCTTCTAAATTTGTCAAACGTAGAGTCTAATTTTCTAATTTTCATTAATATAAATACCATTTTTATAGTTTTCTTGTACATTAGGACTATTAGATAATTTTATCTATCTCACACATAAGGTCTAAGTAATAATTTTAGAAAAATATAATAAGACAAAATTTCACTACTTTCTATATCCCTGGTAAATGTATATACTTTGATAATTTCATTAATTTGTGTCAAAATCTAACACGGACGTTCATGTGGCTAGAGGTTCAGGTAGAAAGAAGCAAAAGAAAAGTCTTTGGATTTGCTTTGAATTTGTAAAACTGGCGAAAACTCATGACATAAGGATATTTTCATAAATTTGAAATTTAAGGTTAAGGTACAAGTCAACAAGAATTTAAAGAAAAATTTGGAAATTAAGAAATGATGGCGTATGGATTGATCATACATTTAACAGGTGAATCGACAAGTTAGACGTTTTATGGAAGGAAAACATGGCAAGCTATCATTTTAAACGCTCTAAATTCTCGTCACAGATGAAAGATAAGGACTATATAGATAAATTATACTATAATATATAATATATGGACAACTTTTATAATTTTCTCAAAAGTATATACCATAGAGCTACTTTTTATAAAAGACATATTATATAAATTAACACTTATCTTGTTTACCATGTTAGATACTTTTGTTAAAGTCCTAATCAATATACTAAAAACTCCGTTTTTAGTTGGATTGGTTATATATATATATATATATATATATATATATATATATATATATATATATATATATATATATATATATATATATATATATATATATATAGATAGATAGATAGATAGAGAGAGAGAGAGAGAGAGAGAGAGAGAGAGAGAGAGAGAGAGAGAGAGAGAGAGAGAGAGGTTATAATATGGATTGTAAATATTATGTGGATTAAAGGATTAATATGGATCAAGAGTTTAAAATACATATTCTAATAGAAATACATATTCTGATTGAATATAACTTCTGACAGATTACATATTCAGACTGAATGAACATTTTTAAGAATAAAAAAATTTTGAACCGTGAATTGAAAAATAACATCAATCTTATTGAATAATCATCTATTATTAATATTATTGAAAACCTAAGGTTAAAAAATAAACAAAAAACAGCTTTTACTATCATATTTTAGAATAATACAATATCAATTTTTGAATTTTTGCTACGTTCTATAAGAATACAAGCTTTATAGTAAGTCATTCTTGAAAAAAAAAATCTTCATTCTATAAGACTACAATATCATTCATGAAAGAACCTTCATTCTCATTCTTCCTAGAAGGAAATTTATTTCCTTTGATTTTAGATCTTCAACTAACGAGTAAACAAATACCTGTATTAAAAAATAAAAATAAGCATGTGGATAAGATTATACAAATGAAGATAACATTCTTCTAAGAATGATTCTTGAAATTCATGTAAAAAGTATTATAAATGAGAATGAAATTATATTTTGCCATAATACAAACAGAAAACAGTGACTACGAACTCAATTCCATTCATAACTTCTTAACCTTGCAAATAACCATTTACAAAGCTAGTATTCACAACAACAATTGAGCACCCAAATCAATACTTTCACAGCATATGTTACCAAACCATGAAAAAGCTAAAAGATTTGAAGTCAATCGATTAATAACAAATTTTAACATCAATTCAACTTACCCAATCTCAAATACAGAAATATCAATTATGTCAATCTTTTAGCACAACATATGTAAGTAACAAAACCAATATTGATTATCAGGAAGTTTAAGGTGTCCATACTAAATTCAACAGATATACACACTAGTTAAATAAAAGCATGCCCCTAACGTAAGAGACCCTAAAAACACAAACCTTCTGAGGAAGCAAAAGGTAGTGAATGTTAGGCATAACACCGCCATTAGCAATGGTGATGTCACCAAGAAGCTTTCTTAATTCTTCGTCGTTCCTAACAACTAATTGGATGTGCCTTGGGACGATTCTAGTTTTCTTATTGTCCCTTGCTGCATTTCCAGCTAACTCGAGAACCTGCAATCAATCAATTTCATGATTTGAATGTTTTCGAGGGAAATTTGAGAAACCCTAAAAATTATATACAATTAAATTAAAAAAAAAAAAAAACGAATCAAGGAAATCACCTAAGCTGCTAGGTACTCAAGAATGACAACAAGATACACAAGAGCTCCGGTACTGGTACTGATACGTTCGGCGTACTTTCCGGATTTTAGGAAACGAGCGATACGAACCCTGGAGGGTTGGTTCCCGATTCTGATTTCGATTGTGAAGTCGTTCCCTACAACAACAATCTTGTCATCTTCGAACGTGGATGGGTTATGATTGATCGTCGGTAAGAGATTGAGATGGGTAGAAGTGTAGAAGCTGGAGGGATATGATTTTGTCGATGTCGATGGAAGAGGTAGGTTTTAAATAAAGTAATTTGCTTAGATTCAAGGGTGTAAGATTTAATTAATAATTTATTAAAATTAAATATTACTTGATCCATACTAATCCCTACACCCACACAATATTTGTTCATCCACGTTTGAACATACCTTTATATATATATATATATATATATATATATATATATATATATATATATATATATATATATAAGATCTGGTTCCGGTGGAGACTTTTTAAAGTGGAGACTCGTGAGGACACCTTAAAAAATTGAAAGAAAATTACAAATCATAAAATCGAGCATAGTACTATATCCGGGAGAAAAAAAGTTGGAATTTTTTTTTGCATTATTAAAATTGAATCATAGTTAGAATACTTGAACTTCTCTCTCTCTCTCTCTCTCTATATATATATATATATATATATATATATATATATATATATATATATATATATATATATATAGAGAGAGAGAGAGAGAGAGAGAGAGAAAGAGTTTCAAGTATTCTAACTAAGTATTCCAAAATGATAATTTGGTAATGTTAGCTATAATTATTTATGGTAATTGTTAAATAAATTAATAACCCCTTTAAATGGGAGATCAATTTAATTCACACATCATTTTCTTTATTAACCCTACCTGTTGATTCCTCCACCGCCACCATAGTATCACCATCGATCTTCGTCTTCCTCTCCCTCTCCACCATTGTTAAATTAACGCTACCCAATACAAATCTTCAATCGATTCTTCTCCCTCAATCTCTCAAGAAACTGGGTATAAGATTTTTGTTTTTCTTGTTATTTTTGGTGACGGCGTTTGGCGTTGGTCTTGAAGTAATCAAACCACGACCATTTTTCATGTTCGGTGATTCTTTGGCTGACAACGACAACAACTACTTGGATTACACCTACTACTTGCTTGACAATTGATTGTTAGTGTGGAGACCAATTCTGTATTGAAAACGGCGCTTTTGCAGTATATTATGGCATTCCCTATTGCTCTTAAGGTTTGTAATCTTTAAATCTAACAATAATGCTTCCAATTTAGAGATATTTGTTTGCTGACCTTTTGTAGTAAAATTCAATGTGGTGCCATTTGATTCATGGATCCAAAATAGCAGGAGACCTCATGAATCTTCTTGAGGATAATGATTTAGATCTAGTTCTGAGTTCATATCATCACCCATGTTGCATTATCCAATTCATCTCTCGTAATTTTGCGCTCAGAAGTTAAACCTTGGTTGTGGATTACATTTCAGGAATCAAAAGTTACGTGTTTCCATGAAGGAATTAGTGTTTGTGAACAAATCACAAGCATACCTATCCTTCTTTCCTACACTTTTTTGACTTCAAGGTTTCTTATACTATGGCATCTTACCCTTCCAATAATTATGTGGGACGATTGTCACTGGATTCCTTACATATTTCATTCATTTTTTTTTTAATTTTATATATCTTTTATTGATCAGGTTTCACCAAGTTGACAGTGAAAGTTTAACAATTGTTATTTATCTTTCATTCCATGTTTCATGTATTGGTGATCTTGAAGACGAACTGATAAAGAAACGGTAGAAGTAATTAAGTCTAACCCTTTTCAAATATTATGTATTGTGCATTAATGTTACTTCAACATTGTATCTTCTATTATGATTTTGGATAGAATCGAATGTTGTGCTAGATTATCCCTTGTGTGGGTGACAGGGCTTCATATGAACATATCAACGACTCAATTAGTGGAATCAAATGTCAGCTACTTCTTTTTCCCTCTTCCCATTTGCATTGTTCGGTTCCTAGAAATACATATTGAAATAGATGGGTTTGATTTTTTATTTTAATCTGTTCAATTTGAGAATGTTTGCAGACTTTGAGAAAACAAGGCTTATGAGGTAATTCCAATTTGTTTTACTTGCTAAATGCAAGTTGAAAGCTAGGGATTTGATTTTTTTTATTTCTTTTTCACATAATGACAAGGTTAAGTAAAACTTTTGAGGTAATGTTGGATTAGGTGTTTAAGCCCATAACTATAATTGGTATGTACTTGACCCGATAGTAGCATGGTCCTTTTGGGTTACCTTCACCAGAGCAATTTGATAGGATGGATAATTAAGAAAGAGGTTATTTGTAACTTATTAATATGTTATATAAGTAATATATTAATTGAGAAATCATATTATTTAAAGAGTATTGATCAAGAATTAATTTGGAATTAATTTAGTGATCAAAAGATACTGATTAAATTTACAGGGACTGATTAGGTAAATCAATAATACTAATAGTTTGGGCTAATGATCCATGTTGATTAGAGATGGGCTAAATCTATGTGAGAGTCTATGAAGAGTTAGTCCAAAAGGCCTATCATATGGATCATTGGAATACTTAAAGGCTTAAGTAAATTAGGGTTTTATGTAAGAAACCCTAAGGATTCCAAATTATAAATTGAACCCCTAGCCTTCCCAAAACTGACCTATCTCTTCCAAGGTGAAACCCTAGCTGATTTTGGTGCTTCCAACCCCTCTCTCATAAGACTGCTCTTGCTTTTGGTGTTTGTGACTCATTTGAGGTATCACACTTGAGGTACTAAGCTCTTGGAAGATCAAGTTCTGAAAGCTACAACAAAGAGGTACTCATCTAACTAGTTTTATGTTACAAATCTCTATATTGTAGGCTAGTTAGGGGTCATGCTTGGAAAAATGAAAATTGCATGTATAACTTGAGAAACTTAGATCCAAAGCATTAAGGTTGTATGTGTACCATGTGATTTTTATAGTGCTCAAAACCCATCAGTGGTATCAGAGCCTAGGGTGTTTTCTATTATCTTAATGCAATTGTATTGTTTTCAAAGATGGAAAATTTTCATTTTTGGCCTATGACTGTTGGACGCGACAAGTCCTATGAAGGAACTCGGCGAGTCCATTTCCTGACTCGATGAGTTGGATCATTTATTTGTAGTTTTTTCGATTTTTTGGCCAGATTTGGATTAGGATCATTACAACAAACTATTTTGACTGATAAAATTCGTTTTTTCTGATAAGGTAATGATTATCCTCATCCAACTGAATGATGCTTGTCAAATTTTAAGATAATTACTTGATTTTGTGAAAATATTAATTATTTATAGAATTTGATTTGAATCATCTTGATATATGAAATTAGATTAGGTCAATTTTGTGTTATAGTTAATTATATGATTAATTTAATTGTTTTCAAATTGATCCAAGAGAGTTTTGAAAAGTTTCAAAATTTGCCCTCAAGTTTCGGAATTTAAAAATTGATTAAAAAATTTTAAATTTTAAATATTTAAATTCTAAACCCTATAGTTTTAAAAGTTTAAAATTCAACCCTTATATATATAGACCAACTTCGTGAATGAGACCTACTAATGGTAAGACTGACTATCTTATATATATATATATATATATATATATATATATATATATATATATATATATATATATATATATATATATATATATATATATATAAGACAGTCAGTCTTACCGTTAGTAGGCCTCATTCACGAAGCTGATCTATAAGGTGGTATAAGGAAATTGCCTATAAAATGGCGATTGAATGGGTGTCCACTCTCAACCACCGCTTCCTTGACTAGTGGAGGGTCGTTATCCGAATGGGTATGATAGGACATTAATTCTCATTAAAAAGTATAATGATAATTATAAAAGTAACTAAATGTTTTTCTAAATTTCCAATCTTAGTTACTTTAGGAAAAATGTGAAAATGGTGCTATTCGATGAAATTACACTTTGCACCTTGCCAAGTCATTAGTGGAGCGTGTGTGGTTAACCGACACACTAATTTGGACTAAAAAGGGTGGAAAAGGGTAGCTTGATTTTTTCATAGATCAATGGAGCGTGTGTGGTTCACCGACAAATTGATTAGGTGATAAATGACATCAAGAGTACTAGGCATATTTGCATGGTTATTCACATCTTGTTTGTGTTCCTCGGTATCCTAGTCACAAACTTGAAGGGCATAATCGAGATTTAAACATGCCATTGAAAAATTCAATGAATCTAAAAGAACTAGGAATTTCATAAAACTTAATTCTTTAAAATTTTAGTTTTGGGTGGTGAAATTGGTAAATCGTCATTTACCTACCTTCAAATATTTTGCAATTGGATTACGGCATCCCTCTTCCAAATTGTGAAATAATGTGTTTGAGTCCTAGCCTTAATATTTCATTTGAGTGTTATATTAAGGAATTTCTATCTAATGAAACTTGTCTTTCTTTTCAGATGTCTACTTCAAAAAATGCTTCAAAATCAAATGCTTCTGGCTCTTTCTCCCTCATGAACTTATGTGGGAGGGTCATTTTTGATGGTTCGAACTTCAATGACTGGATTCAAAACATTCACATGGCCATTCGATATGAGGAAAAGAAATATGTCCTCTAATGGGTTTTGAGCAAAAGAACATTCCTATGTGCACATGCAAAACCTTAAAGCTTTGGATCTAGGTTTCTCTATTGTACATGCAAATTAATCCAAAGCTTGTAAACCCTAATCTAGCATACTACAAAATTTGAAATCTACAACTAAAACAAGCTTAGATGATTATTTTTTGATAGTAGAAAGAATCGTTAACTTCAAGAGTTTAGTATCACAACTGTAATACTCTAATGGCTTACAAACACCAAAGCAAGAAGATGATCTCTGAAGAGAGAGAATGAAGGCACAAAATCGGCTTTGAGGAGTCTTAGGGTTTCAAGTGGCCGATTTCCAATGCCATAGGGGTTCTTTAAATAGTGTTGCTGCTAGCGTTTTAGTCAAAACCCTAATTGGATAACTTAGGCCTTAAGCAGTCCAAAGAACCTTCTGGAACAAGGCCATGGATGAAATCATAGTGGGCTTCCACTCTAATTTCACCCCCCTGATATCCATAAGGATCTACAGCCCAAATCCAATTATCTTATAACTGACAATTCCAGTCCCTTAGTTCAATTAATCTCTTTTGATCACAAAATCAATATCTTAATTAATTCTTGATCAATATTAATTAACCAATATGATTTCTATTTTAATATATTATTCATATAATATAGTAATAAACCATAATATTATCTCTCTCCATAAATCATCCTGTCAAGTTGCTTTGGTGAAGGCAACCCAAAAGGGCCATGCTAGAACCGGGTCAAGTACATACCAAATATACTATCATAATGACTAATCTGTACTAACATGCAGTTCCCTTTAAGCTGGTACACATATAACAAGCACACAAGGCATCCTTCCTAGATCTTTAGCCCTAAACTAGCATGCAATTCTCATAAAGCTGGTACACATATAATAGGCACATAAGGCATCCTTCCTAGATCCTTATCCCTAAACTAGCATGAAGTTCTCATAAAGCTGATAAACATATCATAACATGAACTTGTATTGGTAACTTGGGAGTACTTACTTGAGCTCGACTGATTGCATGCACCACACCCTTTTCTATTTTCAAAGTTCTTTTCTTTTAAAATTTCTTTTCGCTTTTTCTAAAACTCTTTTCTTTCCTCAAAATCATTCTTACAAAAATTGGTTTTCTTTTTGAAAACCTCTATACCAATCCTTAGTTTGAGTTCAGACATACCCGAAAGCGTGCCTGAATCCCTCAAACCAAAGCTCTGATACCAACTTGTAACATCCCAAAAACACAGTCTGAAAATTTTGTTTAATTTAATAATAAAAACCATAGTCAATAAACC